AACAATTGATGGTCTTTCCACTTCTTACGATTCATTTTGATATGAAAATATTAAAATACGGTTCAAAATGTAATTTCGAGTGTCAAATGATACCTTAATGTACGCTGATTCCAAAAATATATGATTTCTATACAATTTGGTTGAAATAAGAGAGATAATTTGTTACTTCCGGTCTGAAAAATGTCACTTCCGTTATTATTTGATAGTTTACTTGACACTGATTCCAAAAATATATGGTTTAATATACTTTTACATCAAATAAGTACAAAAATAGCTACTTCCGGTTTACACAAGGTCATTTCCAGTTGGATTTTTCAAGGTCATATAGCTTGCAACCTAATTGAAAAAGTCCTAAGGCTTTAGTTTGTATAAATATGAAGTTAATGCAAAGGTCAAAATCTTGAACGTCAAAATCAACTTTGATCTTGATCTCAATTTCAAGGTCATAAACCAAAGACCTCAAATCAAAATACCTTAGGTCTTTATTAGATATGGCTAACGATTTATATTACCATTCACATAATTTCACATATAAAAGGGGAGACAACTGCCATTTTATGTAAACGTACACTTTCAACTAAAATTTAAGTGTTACGACATGTCGCAACTAACAATTTAGTAAAAATATGTTGTCGTTATCTTATACGGTTTTAGAAAAGAATTGAAAATAAGCCAAAATCTGAATTAAGAACGTGACCTTGACCTTTGACCTTGACCTAATTTTGTCTTTTTTGGACCAAGGACCTCAAATCAATGGATCCTAGGTCTCTATCACTTATGGATTACCAGTTACAAATGCATATCACTTATATCCAATGCATAAGGGGGAATAACTCTGATATGGATTCTCCGGAACGCTTCAGTCCAAACCAATCTGAACATTCTGAGGATATAACGAGTAAATTGGTGAAATAATTTTGTCGTAATCTTTTACGGTTGCGAAGGAATAGCAAAAACAAGAAAAACAGTGATGGGGAGATAACTCTTACAAAGAAAAGTATTCGGTTAAGCAGGGTCAGTTTTGAAAGCGCATATACTGTTCAATATCATATACCAAATATCAAATCGACATCTTGCGAAACAACCAAAAAGGGGAAGAAAAAATATTAGGCGGAAGAAAAAAAAATAATCAGAACAAAATCAATAGGTCTTTCCACGGAAAAGTGGAAAGACCTTATTATCAGAACAAAACCAATAGGTCTTTTCACAGAAAAGTGGAAAGACTCAAATATGTATACTGATGAATCCAAAATATTTTAATTCGGTTTTTTTTCATTTTTTTTTTTTTTTTTTTTTTTTTTGCACGTACATAGTAAATCTGATGATTTGGGCCGCCAGGTTCGTTGAACCTATTTTTTTTCGTACTATTCGTTGTGAGTCGTACCAAATTATTACTGACTCGTACCTTAACAAAAATGTACTTTTATCAACTCGTACCAATTTGTTGATCATAAAGAGCATTACATTTCCCCCAATTTGTATATCTGTCTACCAAAATATATCATAAAAATAATACTCTTTCACAGGTTAAACCAGTCTCGTATTACATTTTTACACTTACTTTTAAAATGTTGGCAAAGGTTTCTGACATTCGATATGATAGATGTTTAACTAACTTGTGAGATCCCGACTCTCTCTCTAGATAGCTGACATTTTGTTACATGTATTGCTATCTGAAAGTTTTGTGTTTCTTTGAGTTTATTTTTTTTTATTGTGGAATTTTTTATGATTTTGTTTGTTTTCTGTTTTCTTTCATCTTTATTTTAATTCATATTGACTTTTTATAACAAATAAATAGTTTTTGAATAAGCAGTGCTGTGTTTTTTAAAATTAAGAGATAGTTTGAATAGATCAGATTAGAGTATATCTGCAATTTAGAATGTCATATTGAAAATGGCGGTAGTAGAGTATAACTGAAAAATGAAGAATAGCACAAAAACTGGTTTTTTTTTTACATATCTTTAATTTTTTAATTTTTTTTTTATTAGGTTTTTATATAACTGTTGTTCAGGAATCCTTCATATCTCATGATACGTTTAAGATTTAAGACAAATTAATAGTGAAGAGTTGTGTTTGACATGTTTTATTTGAATAAAAAAGGTTGCCATACAATTATCAAAAAGCAATACATAAAAAGCAATAAAAAAATGAGCAAGGCAATTCAACTACTTTTTTTAACAATCAAACGAAATTTTATTTTACAACTGCTGTTTTAAATTTTACCCAGATTACAGCGTTAGTGTGTATACCCCTGTGATGAGTTACTGAACTTCCTGTGAATTAAAGTTTTACCCAGATTACAGCGTTATTGTGTATATCCCTGTGATGAGTTACTGAACTTCCTGTGAATTAAAGTTCAGCAAACAAATACAAAATGCTAATTTAACAATTTATTACATTGATTCATTCATAAACATGTTAAGGTATTTCAAAGTTTGTGTCACATGTTAACGGATAAAAATCATTCTACTGACCGGGTTTGACATTTTTTACTTGCATCGATTTTTAACCATTCACCTCTTGACCCAATAAAATTTTGAACAGGTGTATGAAACCGTTAGAAAAGCCATTGGGTTTTGTTAACTTTCCATTCATTCGAACATTTTGAATTTTACTTTATTTTTTTTTCACTTTCGCCATGGTGAGTATGATAGATTAATTCTAGTCTAAATCATGTTCAGTAAATATGTGATTTAGTTTGTACAAAATATTAATTTATACTGTAAATGCAGATCAATGATTGATCGTTAAAAACTGAAACAGATACGTTACACCAAATCACACTTTGATATTCTTGCAAAATATTCTTCTTCTTTTTTTCAAGCGTATACAATTAAATATTATCTTTGGTGGAAATATGTATGATTTGTTATTACTTTATAATTGTAAATAAAAAAGAATTTGTCCGTGAGAGATACATGTACACCAACTACATGCAAGTTTACATTTGAATGCCTGCATTTTCTTCTAAGATTTTTTGTGTGATCGAGGGAAACCGAAAACTTTACAGATTTGATTATAGATTTTTGATTTTTAGGTTTTTAGTTTAATAGAAAAACAAAGGATATGGGGTATTCATCCATGACACAAGATCAGTACACGCACAGCAAAAAACACACAAAAAGCAAAGAGACAGCGCTTTTATTGCTGTTCTTCAACTCAAAGTCACAGTTAGGCCTTCAACAGGGAGGGAAAAAAATCTCACCTCACTGCAAGTTTAAGACGGCCCCTAGCACCGGTTTGAGCGGTTTCTTTGCAAAATGATTGGAAATGACTTTGTATAATGTAATACCACCAAATTGGGCCCAGTTAAAAAAGAATATTCAGGAATTAGAAGTACGTATTTAAAACAAACTTTTAATAATTAAGGTATCAAATGAAAGGTGAATGCCTGGTAATCCTTGTAGAACACATATTGACTGATAATTTTGAATAATACAAAAATATATGAATAAATTCCAAAATTAAGGGCATATATAGCCTGTTTCTAAGATATGAAGTATCTGATTTGGTGTATCCAAAGTTCTGGTAACCAGTATGGTCTGACGTGTGAATAATGGTATATTGATCCCGCTTCATTCTTATGTTCATACATTTTTTGTACTTACACTCAATGGCATAGTGTTATCAGGTTTACAATTATCATTAGTGCAATCAAAATAACACTCATGACATAAACGTTCAGAGTTAACGTGTAATGCCATAGTCTGCTCAGATTTAAATTTTATGAATTTGTATGCGCAGGTATATAATCAATGAAACAATGTTTTCAAGATAACATTCATTGACAGAGAGTTTTATTTGTATGTTTACACAATGACACGTACCGTGTTCTAGTGTTTACAATATACTCATGTATGAACAAGAATCATTTGTGCCATTCCGCAATGATATTGCAGTCCAACAACACGAATTCTAAAAGACGCATATATACATAACTGGAGACCAGCATACGATCGACAACAATCAGCTAGTGGTATACAATAAATTGCTATTAATCTAACAAGATCAACATATATGTCAATTACATCAAATTCCAAATATGACCAAAAACGTTGCGATGAAACAACATAAAACCACGGATGCGGCTCATGACTTGGGACAGACATATTAAAAAGTGGCGAGTTCACGTTAACCAAATAACAATATTATTAGGCTGATAATCAGTTACAATCATCACTGATTTACATTATGTACTTTCAGTATTTAAGTGTTACACTCAAAGGTATACCATGTTGAGGCATAAAATCAATGCTCTTCTGCACACGTTGAATTAAATGAAAAATATTACCTTTGTTAAACTCTCTTTAGTTCATATTCAGTGACACCATATATTCAGATTTTTGTTTAATTATAATATTGTCAAATCGGAATAAAAGTATATGTAAAATATTCGTAAATGAAATGGAAACCCATCTCCACAATACACGGTCTTCAATAATAGTCAACTGTTCATACAACAAGGCATGCTCTTAATTGCCCCGAGTCCTTACTGTTGTGAATAAATGGACATTTACTTTTAATACACTACACGAACGTTCCCATAACATAACGCAATAAGATATATAGCGATGTTCTCTTGGTACATCAATGAATTAATGTCCTCAGGAATATTGTTTATGCCTTAGTGTTATACTGTTGTGAATACATTTGACATTGAATTTCAAAAACTACACGAAGTTTTCCATAAAAAAAACACACTATGAGATATTTAACAATGTTCGCTGAATATATTCAATGACATATTGTCAACATGAATATATCTAATGTCACAATGATTTCAGATAACAGTCAATGACACACTGTTTTCTTGATACATTATATGCCACAATATTCTCTGGATACATTCAATGATTTAATGTGCACAGAAATATATGGAATGGCACAATGTTCTCTGGATACAGTCAATAACATAATGTACTCTGGATACATGGAAGGACACAATGTTCTCTGGATACAGTCAATAACACAATGTATTCTGGATGCATGTAATGACACAATTATCTCTGGATACAGTCAATAACACAATGTATTCCTGATACATGCAATGACACAATGTTCTCTGGATACAGTCAATAATACAATGTATTCTGGATACATTCAATGATTTAATGTTCACAGAAATACATGGAATGACACAATGTTCTCTGGATACAGTCAATAACATAATGTATTCTGGTTACATGGAATGACACAATGTTCTCTAGATACAGTCAATAGCACAATGTATTCTGGATACATGCAATGACACAATGTTCTCTGGATAAAGTCAATAACACAAGTATTCTGGATATATGCAATGACACAATGTTCTATGGTCACATTTAAAGATTCACTTTTCTCATAAAAACAGTAAATGAGACACTGTTCACTTGATATATTCTATGACACACTGTTTTCTTAGTGCCTTTTATGCAACAATGTTCTCTGGATACATTCAATATTTCAATGTTCTGATGAATAGACGGGTCTTTCTAATTATCCCCCTTAGTATTGCACATGTCCGCACGAGGTCATCGATGTCCGGTCGCCATTAAGGTCGTGAAACATTGTAAACATTAGAGAAAGCACGCTATCTGAACTCACATAATTTTATTGTTGATACAATAAAAATGAATGATCTGAATTATTAAATTTGATAATTATCTCATATTAATGAGATAACACATTGGTATGCAATGTTGACGTTTGGACAAGAAGACTTCATAGACATGTGTGTAATTTACTAGGGATAATCACAGTTGGAAAGGCAAACAGTGTTGACTTGTTTACCTTGTTTAACGTAATTGCTTGTTATGTAAAAAAATGTATTACACCAGGAGTTCGCTTCAAGAGACCCATAATTCCTACTTTGTTAAGTCCAGATGCTTCTTATTCGATACAATTTAATAATAAAAAGTAATGAGCAGGTCTATGATTACCAGTATATATATATGATTTAATATACAATTACCTTTTATTTTCACTTATTCATAACAACAGTGAATAATAAGAAGAAGACCAGAAATTATCGTCTCCAAGCTAGTTTATACACACTCACATTTAATGACATCCAAGACAGGAGATTTAGTCCACTGTTCATTGAAGAGTTTTGATGATTTAATCTAACTTTTATTGTTGGGTTACAGTCTCATTGACATATATCACACTTCCTGAATTCTTTCATTCAAGTCAAATATGGAAATTAATTAACTAAAATAAAACAATCTGAAGGTTGAATAGAAATGTAATAAAAAAAAAAACGAAGGACGAAAAACACAATTTACAATGAAATTATATTCAATCCGTATCTACATCGACATCCCGTATTAAATCTAATCTCCAATTTACCAATGCGGAACAAACAATAAGAATGTCATCAAAATTCTTTAAAGACGACACTGGTACAGTTCCACTTAAAACTTTAAATACTTTCAGTCTACGAATAGCACGCTCTACATTTATTCGTACATGTGCAATACGTCTAGTAGTTGTGACATCTTCATTTGAAAGCTGGGGTTTGCATTTTGTAAATACAGGAATGTTTAATTTTACACGACGAAGAAAACGAAAATCTTCAATTGTAAATCCACGATCTGCCAAGACTTCGTCACCCAAAAATAAATAGTTTAAAAATCCACTCTTTTCCACGATAAACTTGTCACTAGCTCTTCCGCCAAAAGCTTTGGAAATAAACATGATTTGTCCATGTGGAGATATTCCAACTAAATATTTTGAGGTATTGTGCGACTTGTAATTACTGAAAGATTCACTTCTAGTTTTCAAGTTCGTATAGGTCGTTGTATAAATGTTTCGGCACAGTCTATTATTATAGTGGTGCGAGGGTAATTTTCTCGGAAAGATTCATTTAATTTACGACGATTATTAGAACATCCATTAACAGCACAAGAATTACCACCCCTTTTCCTATAATTTTCGTTATTTGCCATGGTCATATGTACATGAAATATGTGAAACAAAAACGTTATAAATGACCGATAATTATATAGATTATTGATTGCACGTGCGTTATCATTCACGAGTGATATGGCCGACGTACCACGTGACCTCTTAATGGCAGCGCACATGTTTTTGAGATAAGACGTGGATAAACCCGTCTATACATTCAATAAAACACTTCTCTGGATACATACTACGACACACTGTTTTCTTGATACATCTATTGCCACAATACTCTCTTGATACAGCCAATGATTTAATGTTCTCATGAATACAGTCAATGACACATTGTTCTTTGAAAAATTCAATGACACAATATTATCTGGCATACATACAATGACACAATGGTCTCTGGGATACATTCAATGACTCAATGAAAAAGTATTGTCAGGAATACGTCCAAAAACACAATGCTCTTTGGATACATTCAATGACACAATGTTTTATGGAATACATAAAATTGCACAATTTTTTTCAGGAATACATTCAATAACACAATGCTTTTTAGAAATACAGTCAATGACACAATGTTCTCACAATGTAATCATGGTACTTTCAATGACAAATGTTCTCACAATGTAATCATGGTACTTTCAATGACAATTGTTCCCACAATGTAATCATGGTACTTTAAATTAATTTAATGACATAGTGTTGTCATGCTAACATTCAATTTGCCCAGGCCTACACTCAGTGATAAATCATTATCCTGCTTACATTCAATGGTCAAGAGTTCTGAGGCTTTCGATTATTGACCAAAGGTCAAACCTGCACTTTACATTTTCAGTCTAAATGAATTCAGTCACGTCTAATTATTTTCATAAAACTTTTCCGAAATTGTTTACTCATTCCACAGTAAATAAAAAAGTCAATTGGAAAACTTAAAAGAAGAAAGAAATTTGTTAGCATCGACATAACTAGACCTTCTCTTGCATTGAAAAAAGAAATATTTTCGAATGTATTTTGGATAATGGTAAGTATAAAATTTATCCCAGTCGGTAATTCAGCCATCAGAAAAAATGCTACAACAATAACCAGCATTAGGTTAGTACTGTTATTGGACTCACTGCTTCGATTCTGTGATACCATTAGTCTTCTTGTTCTATTGGCCTTTCGGATTTTTAATATGAGCAGAACATTCATAACAAGTAAAACCGTACATGGTATGAACTGGATGAAAATAGCCCGGAACCAATACTTCAAACTAAAATAAATGTCAATGTAACCAATCAACCATGGTTTAGAAATCACATGACATGTTGTTATAGTGTCATTCTGATTAATATTAGACGAAGCATCTACTTGAATAATATCGTCTTCTACGAAACTTGAACAATTACATATTATAGACATAAAAAAGACTGTCAGAATGACAATAGCAATGTTTCGCATCGTGCACTTTTGTTTGAATTTTGAAGAACTACAAACATACAGATATCTGTGAATAGCCAGTGTCACTGTCAGCCATACGGAAGTTGTATGGAAAATGGTTGGAATATATTGTCCAAAATAAGAGTAAATGATACACCAGTCTATCGGTACCTTCTCCAGATAGTTTCCGAAGGAGAAAAAATAAATGTACAAAGGCAAAGGGAATATCCCAGTGCACATGTCAGATATAGCCATTCCTGCTAGAATTATATTCGTCGGAGAGCGCATGTTTTTCTGCAAGAGGACAACACAAGCCAATGAATTTGTAATCACAATCAAGCAAATGACAATTGGTGACAAATACCCATATATAGGAACGGCGTAGTCAATTGGTTCAATGTTTCTAAGATCCAAAAACGGAAGAGTTTCTATTTCGTAGTTCTTTGCTGTATTTTCCGCCGCCATTGCTATAAACAATATATTAAAAGTCGTAATTTCAATACTTAAACGGATTCACAAACAGTCTTTATTTAAATCTGTTTAAAAACTTCCAATTATTTCCAGGTCCATGCACATCTATATGAGTAGTTATCAATGCTGTTTTGCGATTAAATGTCAAATTTTGCGCATGCGTTAAACTTATGGTATGATATTTTAATGTCAGGATAACCTTCAACTATGTTTGCCATCGATAATTGTCAGTTGTATAGAGTAAAATAACACAAAAATACCGAACTACAAGGAAAATTCAAAACGGAAAGTCTCTTATGAAATGGCAAAATCATAAGAGACTATTTTGTTTCCATCCGTTTTCTGTTTTCGAGCTTTTAACTCTTTAAAAATCAGCTGAACGTTTCAATCCCATACTATAAGTATAGATAGATCAAGCTTTTTAAAGATCAAATTGTTTGCCTCTCTTTTAAATCAAACAGATGATTGAAATGTAACATTTTGTTTATTTGTATTAGAATGGTGATAACCATATTGTATTTTAAGCTTTGTCTTTGTAAAACGTCCCTTGGTGTGTTTGAGCTAATAACACTAATATAAAAATAAGTTAAAAGCTCAAACACATCAAACAAATGGAAAACAACTGTCATAATCCTGACTTGGTACAGACGTTTTCTTATGTAGAAAATGGTGGGTTAAACCATCTTTTATAGCTAGCAAAACCTCTCACTTGTATGACAGTCACATAGAATTCTATTATATTAACAACAATGTGTGAGCAAAACAAACAGACACAATAGGTAAACATGTCAAAAATTGTGGTACAGCAGTCAACATTGTAATATAGTCTTAACCACTCTAAAAGAAACAACTATTTCAACAAAGAAAACCAAAATGGCATATAGACACTCTATAGACAAAGTATATAGTAAAAATGAAAGACAAGAATACAAAATTGACCACAGCATATAACACAAAATTGACCATAGCCCAATAACACTAATATAAAAATAAGCAAATGTGGTATGATTGCCAATGAGACAAATCTCCACCGGAGAACAAATGACGTAATATTTAACAATTGTAGGTCACTGTACGGCCTTCAACAACGAGCAAAACCCATACCGCATAGAAATCTACAAAAAGCCCCAATATTACACACGTTATTATGATAAAGAATAATCTAAAATAGAAGTGTTTTATTGGATTTTTTGCAGATTTGTTTTAAACGAGTTTTCTTTTTTGTCCCCAAACAACACAAATACACTAGAAAGACATAATTATAAATTTTACATCAATAATCAAACAAATTCTTTGGTCGGGTTGTTGTCTCTTTGACACATTCCCCGTTTCCATTCTCAATTTTAAATAAATTAATTTCTCGCATATCAAATGACAAATCATAAACTTCTTACTGCTTTTAATATTACCATTTATCGTATTTTTCTACATATATATAGTTAATTCTTCTCGGCACTTCGGCAAATCTCTTTTTACAGTATTATGACGTCAGAAAATATTATCATTTTTGACTTAGAAGATAGCTGTACTGTATTTCAAGGTTTGCCAACTGTCCCAAATTTATTTAAGCGCTGCTAGGTCAACATATATTTACGACAGTAAAACAATGTTTTACGAAGACAAAGCTTAAAACACAACATGGTTATCACCATTCTAATACAAAATAAACAAAATATTACATTTCAATCATCTGTTTGATTTAAAAGAGAGACGAAAAATTTGATCTTTAAGAAACTTGATCTTTCTATATTTATAGTATGTGATTGAAACGTTTAGCTGATTTTTAAAGAGTTTACTCCCTTATGTGTTATGTAACTCTTTTAATAAATTCAAGATTGAATCCAGAAATGGTTGTTATCATGATGGGTGTTTAACCTTTATTGTTTTACCTGATGATAGAGTAGAATGATAAACACTTTCAGTTTGCACGGAATGCCATTGAAGACTCATTTAATAAATGTATTTGACCTGGTACTAACGTAAGAGTACAATGTATTGATCATAAAACATCATAAGTGTATGTTCTTTGTACAAGAAGAAAAAATCTTTCTTTAACATGTAATATATGAGTAAAATAAATGTTATTAAAATTCAATTGATTTTATTATAATACTCCTATGTCATTAATCAGTGTGATTACGTGAAAAATCTAAAATCTTCGTTGAAAATTATGGAAAGCAGAAGTGACCCTTTCATTCCAACTACAAGAAAAACGTTCTTAATTAATGATGGAAATAGTAAATCTGGATGCAATTTATTCGAAATGTTTTTATTGTGTGTATACTACTGTTCATTTTAAAAGATATAGCAAAGTGTTCTCGACCAATGAAATTGTAGATTTTGATTTTCTTTAATTGTGAAGAATGAATGTAAATCATGTTCTTAGTAAGGGATTATCCTACTGTTTAGGCCTACTAACAGTTCAAAACAAAGAATTTCTATAAATGAGATACAACTGCCCAGAAGCAAATTTATCAGCTTGAAACTGACTAAACGTTGAATTTTGAAAGAAACAAAAAGTCAAAAGAAGTTTAAAGTTTACTGGTGCATTAAATTGGTACCGTAAATGATTTATGTGAATATTGGTAACTTCAAAATTATAGTTAATAAAACTAAAAAGTATCAAAGAAATGCATAAAAAAAAATGTTTTTAAAATTAGAAAAAAATCAACCATTTCCTACAACACGAGGTAATCAAAGGAAAACCATTTCAAGTTTAATAAAAAATATTAAATATTTTAGACTTTGAAGATTCATTTTCAATATTTAAAGGGTATTTTAGGTTAGCAAAAATCCAAATAACTGTCCATTCCAGGGGGAAATGGGAGTACATGTAGGTTATACGGGCCTCCTATCCATTATTTTCCAAGAAATGCAATGGGCAGTTATTTGGACTTTCTCGATGGACTCCAGTATATGAAGCCAGGGTTCCAGCAAATATCGGCCATGTGAAAAGGCTAACTTGAATAACATGTAGTATTTTCAATCATTAGATATTCTCTGAGATAATTTTTAGTGCTGTAAAATTTAATTGATTTTTACTAAAGTTGTTTCAAATTTTGAATTCTGTCGAGAATCATTTTAAGTTTTGTATTTGCTTATTTACTGTTTAGTCTAAGTTTCCAAATAATACATCCATCGTTATTTGTGTTTGGTTATAAATCCAATTTGAGTTTTATCCATAAATCTGATATTTTATGGCACATGCAAAGCATGTGCTCAATATCTCCAATAGGTCAATGACAGAAGTACATATATCAGCTTGGTTTATCTTAATGTTAAATAATAATTAATGTGTGCCAAATATTCTGTGTATAATTCAAAACTCAAACCAATGAAGTTTTGAGATTTTGTGGTGTAAAAAGATATATTTTTAGTTATTCCATATTGGTATTATTTATGTAGGTTTTTCTCTATGATTTGGATTTTGACTGAAACAGTATATTCACCTGTGGAAAAAGTATATTCACCGCGCTAAACGTCACGTGCTTTCACATGTAACGTAATGATAACATTTTTGATATACCTGAAGAAAAAGGATATTCACCGCGCTACACGTCACGTGCTTTTACATGTAAAGTTATGGTAAACGGTTTGATGTACAATTAGTTTACTAAGTAAATTTTCTAGGAATATGGAATAAATCAATCACTATCTTTTATTTCGATAAATATGTGGTTTAATTGACTTTTGAAAAACTGATATTAACTTCGGCCGTTGACCTCAGTGAATATCAGCTTTTTAAAAGTCAGTAAAACCACATATTTACCTCAAATTGTATAAAATTCATAAAAAAATTGCAATAGCGGTTTAGGTTGTCAATGAGTAGCTGTTGCAACATATTCATATTTCAAACTAAATCCTATGAAAGTTTTGACATCTGATACAAACATTTGAGAGAGAATACAGCATTTTGGATGACGAATCACAAATGAAATGCATCAATATTGATTTTCCTCAGTGTTTGAACATTAATCTTAATTGGTATATATTGAAAAATGTATAAACTGAAAATGTATGTTTTCTTATTGTTAAAAGCCTAAACATGGAAGTATACCTCTTACCTCATGTTTTTATGATGTACACAAAAGTATTTTTGAAACACCACATAGTACTAGTGTTATTTAAGACAAGCTGTTAACCGTCCAGTGGTATATTCAATACAGGACAAGCTAATGTAAAGCGAAATGATTGTGAATCCTGTGTTGTACTAGACCGAAACACTGAGCTAGTTCACTAGGCAACAGTCCGCATGAAGACTTTTCACCTTGCCCAGACACATTATTCTGATTCCGATCCGACTGGTCTTTGTTTGTACTTCTTAATAACACGTGTTTGTGAAGACGCAATTAATACCAATTTTAAAGATTTTGGTTTGACCTATAGCTGGGTTCGAACACATCACGATGTTGTAAGGATCGGATGAAAGGACGGATTGGCTTAATGTCAAGTGGCAAATATTACATGCATATTTAGTTGAAGTTGTATGGTTATGAACCTTGCATTGAACTAGAATGAAATGCTGAGTTGGATCTTGAGGACGCGGTAGTTCGCTAGAAACAGTCCGTGGGAAGAAATTTCACTATTATCGCACAAATTATTCCGACTTCTTCTAGCTGATAAGTATTTGTTCTTTTCCTACCCGACGCAGGTTATATTTGTTTTACAAAAACACTTGTTGTTCCCCTCGCACTCTTTCTGAAATGATAATAGTAATACTTAAACCACAGAAATTTGCTGTAGATTTTAACAACAGATTAATTATCAACACACTGTTTATAATT